GGTTCCAGAACTGGTAGCCAAAAGCCAGGTTTCTTGAGAAACATAAAGTAAAAACTACCAAAGGTAATACTTTCTATCTCAGTCAAATGCCAAATATACTTGTAGTTTCTCGGTTGCCCTGGCTTTTCCCCTCTCACACTTCAATGTCTGTTTCTGATTCACCCCTTACACCTTGTACCTAACAGACCCCGATATTGGTCCTGTCATGTGTTTCTGGGCTTCTAGCACTCCTTATGGGCTGGCACTGCCGCCTTTCAGCCAGCACTTGTTACTGTTCAAGCAGTTTTTTAAATAACCCAACGACATGCGCGGCTCTGCCTGTCTGCCATTGCATTCAGCTCCCTGGACCAGAAAGGGGAAGCACTGAATGCGTGACTGTTGTGAGACAGAGGAAGGGTTGGGATGACAGACACGCCTCAGTAAACCTGTTCCAGAAGTTCTGCTGCAGCATTTACATGTACAAAAAGCAATGTTTGTGATTTCAAAAAGAAATGTAAAGAATGCCCTTTCTTTTGCAGTTTAGGTAAGACTCGTGTACGAACTTTAGGAACAAAACATTGCATACATATAGCAATGATGTTCAATGCCTGGGAAGAGAGACCTGGACCACCACAGAGAGTAGGTTTGCATCAAGAAGAAGCAAAGCATAGTTACCATGAACTATTTTTTAAAGATTTTATTTATTTATTTTTAGAGAGAGGAGAAGGAAAGGAGAAAGAGAGGGAGATAAACAACAATGTGTGGTTGCCTCTCACATGCCCCCTACTGGGGACTTGGCCCACAACCCAGGTATGTGCGCTGACTGGGAATCAAACCAGCGACCTTTAGATTAGCAGGCCTGTGGTCAATCTCCTGAGTTACACCAGCCAGGACCATGAACTATTTTTTATAAACATGACTTTTCATTGCCCCAGTTATAATATTTCACACTCTTGTGCTGCATAAGATACTATTTTTTTCTTCCCAGGTTGTGGAGAAAAAAGAGAAAGACCAACATACCTACTTCCAATTGTCCTATGGTGAATTTCATTTTCTGAGATGAACACAGTAAAAAGATTCTGCTGGAACCTTTACCTGAAATCATGTTATTGCAGGAAGCAATAAACAATGAAATTGTAAAGCTAATTCTCAAAGACTGATTTCCTGTGTCAAACTGATAACAAAATTAAACAATCATGATTTATTTAGTCGATCAGCATCTCTGGCTCACTGGCTAAATCTCCATGGCAGGCAGGACTCGAAATAGCAATTGTGTGGGCAGAATCCTCACAGATCCTGTTCTTGCTGCTACTGGGAAGGAAAAGGGAAGTTGAAGGCACCTAGCATTGCTGCCGCTGCTACTAATACCACTATCACTAGCAAGCACTGAATGTTTTCCATGTACCCAACACTGTCCTAGGTACTTTTCACGCATTATCTCATTTAACCCTAGTAACTCCATAAGGTAGACAGAATTTCTAGTCCCCCTTTACAAACAGGAGATCTGAGGCTTGGGGAGATAAGCTAATTTGTCAAGGTCATATGACTAGTAATTGGCAGAACCAAGGTTTGAGTCCTCTAATTCCAGAAGAATATTCTTAGCCCCTGTACACATTATCTTTCAGGTTTGGCCATGCTGTGTGCCTTATAAAATCTGTTATGTGGGGAGAAGGAAGAGGACAGTGACCCTTCTCTCCCTCCATTCCAAGCCAAAATTGCTGTTACGTTGGAGCTGTGAGGGCTTGGCAGTGATGTCTAAGGAGGGAGTGGTAGCAACTGGGAAGCCAGGAAATGAAGGTTGTTCATAGGCTCGGGCTTGATCATCCTTATCAGTCTCTAAACTTTTAAGGCTGTTAGTCTTTCAATGTCTGAAATTGAAGATGATGATCACTTAATAAATGACACTTGAGAATATTCAAAGAGTTCTTTTGGAATGACATCTAGGGCATAGTTTTTGGGATTCTTATTTATTCAACAAATAGCTATTATACTGTTATCATGTGTCAGATATTCTGAATACAAATGTGAGCCATTTAACACATGGTTCTTGCATCATGTGGGGCAGGGGAGAAGGGCCATAAGCAAGCAGTCACATATGTCAGAGGTGCAGGGATGGAAAAAGGCCATGCTGTGGGTGCACCCTGCACAGTCGCTCAATCTAAGCTGCAGAAGCAGGGAGAGAAGTGGGTGGGGAGTTTCAAAACTCTACTGCCATTAACATGCTGTATGGTTTCAGACAAGTTCCCTACAACCTAAGACCTCCATTTCTTTGTGTAGGACAGGAGAATAATTTCCATGTCACAAATGCTTCACAGAAATGTATCAAATTACTATACTATAATGTAACAAATACAATGGCCAGCAGATAACAGGTATGTATTTCATGAAGTTATTTTGTCCTTTTACCATTTTTTCTAAGTACTGTCCTTTACTAATGATGATAACAAGGAAGAACATTTTACTTAAATAATGAACTGTAAGTTCAGCAAACAGAAGTGAAACAGAGCAGAATTAGCTAATCCAATTCTGCATCTAATAGTGGATCCTACTCTGTGCCCAATACAATGCTAACAGCAGCAGCTATGAAGCCCGAACCCCAGGAACCCGTTACCACCATAAGACTCACAGAAGGAACTGCCATACAACTCTCTCTGATGTGCCAGAGAACAAGTTAATATTAATCACTGGGCTGTGAGGGGGGAAAGGCATGGTTTATTCAAAACACATTTTGCATAGAGAAGAGAGAATTCAGAACAACTTATCTGTATTGCTCAGATGGAACTCATACCAATAAATAAAACATACGTGGACTTGATGCAGGAAGAATTTTCTAGCCTAGATGCTTGTAAAAGTGATAAGCCTCATGGTGCGCTAATGAGTGTCAGGGCTAATGAGTGTGTGAGCCGTCCGCAGCCAAGTTACTGGAGAGACCTAGGGATCTAGGGATCTATTTGTGGTTTTTCTAAAGTTTGCAGTGCAAATGATATATATATATATTTAAAGTTCTGATTGGTTTGCCTTTTTTTAAATGATTTTTAAGAAGATTTATTTATTTATTTTTAGAGAGGGAAGGGATCTAGGGATCAATTTGTGGTTTTTCTAAAGTTTGCGGTGCAAATGATATGTATATATTTTTTAAAGTCCTGATTGGTTTGCCTTTTTTAAATTATTTTTTAAAGATTTTATTTATTTATTTTTAGAGAGGGAAGTGAGGGAGAAAGAGCGAGAGAGAAACATCAGTGTGTGGTTGCTGGGGGCCATGGCCTGCAACCCAGGCATGTGCCCTGACTGGGAATCAAACCTGCAATGCTTTGGTTCGCAGCACTCGCTCAATCCACTGAGCTATGCCAGCCGGAGCACAAATTATATTTTTTAAAAATCATCAGTGTGTTTGTACTTATGTACCTTCCATTTATAAAGGTCAGTGTGAAGATCTTATTGTCTTGGAGAACAAATTCTTTGCTGTCTTTTGAGTCCTATCACAAAACTCACTCTCCATCTTTGCTTAAATGATCCCCACTACTTGTTTTTCCTCTGGTCTGAAATTCCACCATCAGGCACTAAGAACTTAGCATCTTACTAAGCTTTTTAAGAGTTTTACTCTGAGAGGATGGTTCTCCTGGAGAGTTCACTTCATCCAGTTTTTTTTTAAAAGGGGAATTAATGTAGCACACATACAACTGTTTTTTTCCCCTTAAGTGCCAACTTCAATCAATAATAGTGGCTGTCCTGTGGCATTGCACTGTGAATGATTTTGAGGCTGAGTCCCGATTCAGAGACAAAGGGTGCAGTCATCAACTAGTAATGTCTACAATCGGTGACAGTGATAATACTCACCCAAAGGATTTGCCACCCCTAGAGTAACAGGTCCATTTCTGACAGTTCCCCTAGGTTTAGAGTAAGATCTCAAGGGAATGGCCCTAAGAATGCACGACAGAAAGGAGGTTGAGCACTAGGATGTTCTGAGGACCCTGAGAAGGATGATGAAACCCTGACTAAGGTGCTCTTCTGTTTGCCGACTCTGGCTTTCTATCACATGTGGTCATCCATACTCTTTATATTAACCAGTGTGTCCCAAATTTAAATAATAACAGTCTTGTTGTTTTCCAGGCAAACGTATCCCTTTTACTTGTGATATTCCTTTGCCTAGAAGACCAGAACCTCGAACATATGGGTCGCAGAAGAGATGACCTGGTCCAACCCTCTGTCTGTAAATGAGGAGACTGAGGACAGAAATGGTTAAAGCAGTAACCAGTGACCTCCCATTCCAAAAAGTTTGGACTTCACATTTATTTTAGATTTTTTATTGAATCAATAGTTTCCTGCCCTAGACCCAAGAACTGAATGACAGGCAAAGCAGACAGTACCTAAGGAATGTTGGAACCTCAGCTTTTGATACTAGTTCTTGGCTAGTATAGGATATGACGTTAGATAAACCTTAAGTTCTACCTGTGAGCCCACAAGCAAATAATATGACCCCGAGTCTTCATTCTTTATTCAAGAAAAAGACTATTGCTCTTGTGTGGTCATATAAAGTGCCAGACTCACAGTAAGCACTCAGTAAATGCAGTCCATTCTCTTAGGTTTTCTCCAAAAGCCTGGGCTCCCAACTCTTTTCATGGGCTTGAATATATGCCTGGTACTGGAACTGGAGACTTAATCATTTATTTGAATTTGGGATAGTACATGTTTGTCTTGTCCCCTGCCCCTTTAGAACTTTGTACATGTCAAACAGACACTTCCAGGAAGTAAGATGTTTACCAAAAGTGTTTATTGATTCCTTCACTACAAGGCCTATATGTTGTAATCTTGAGAAAACAAGTATATCGATGTGATTCATTTTAAAATCCAGTATTCATTAATGAATGACTATCCATCGGTATTTCTTCATTGCTATGAATTCTTCATTGATCAGGTTTGTATTGGCCTGAAAAAAATTCACCAGAAAAAGTTTAATTATTAATATTAATCATTTAAAAAGACTGTAAAAAGATTCTTCAGTTCTCTCAAATGATAGGACACCTTCTATAAAACTTCATCTGAAGTAATGAAAGTTGTTAGACTCATATCTCTTCTAGTGTTTTTCAGCTACACTAAATGTCAAACTCTTCTGGGAAGTTTCCTAGATGCAGGTAGGAAATCCTATTTACAGTCTATGAATTCTGCATGCCAGGTGTAAGACTCAATGATTACTGAAGTGCATATGGAAAGATTTATCTTTCCCAGTGTGGATCACTGACAATAGGGTCATTGAAAATTGCTGGACATTAACTTGTGGAATGAATAAAGGAAGAGAGCTAATATATTGAGACAACCCACAGGAAGAGCTCACTCTAGCCTTAATTTCACTGTAGGTGAGTAAATGATACATCTAAAACTTGTATTTAAAATTGGGTAAGTGGTTTTAGATAAAACAAAAGTGTTAATCATAGCAGGAATAATATTAGAACCACATTATTTAGTATCTGTTATGAGCCAGACACTATGATCAGTGCTTTACACATGTGATTTCATTTAATATGAACAACCATCCATTGTAATATATCTTACTTATATTTCACAGGCAGAGAAACCAAAACTCTAAGAGCTTAAGTTGCTTTTCCAAGGCCACCTTAAGCATCAGAGCTCAAAGATGAACTCAGAATAGCTGTTTCTAAAGCCTCCCTCTGGCTTTAATATAGTAAATAATAATGGTTTCTTTGATAGATAACTGCTAAGAATTTTAGAAGGTATTAATATAAGAAGGAAGATATTGTTTTCAATAGAAAACGTATATGTGAATATGGTCAGTAGAGGAGATGAAGAAGATAAAGATGATGAACAAATCCAAGCTGTGTGAGATACTGCTTTTGCCAAATTAATCAAACTCTAATTTTCTTAAATACCACATTGAAAATGTATTAAATACCACATTGAAAATGTATTCAACCTAATGTGAAAAGTTAAATAACCAGATCATCAAGTTTAATTAATTCAGAAGTGTCAGCATAAGTATATGTAACTTACTTGTAGGCCAATGATAGATTTCAATTACATAATATATTTGGAAAGAAGTAAGTCATTCACAGGATACAGCTTAAATATAAGTAAGATATATTTTGGTAATTTTTCTAATTTATGATAATTAAAACATATCTGGAAATGTATGGGTTCATAAATATAGATTTCAGAATGTTAAAGGGGGATATCAATTTGGAAAATTTCCTCTTCTGCATATAAAGTATTTTTTTTTCTTTTTTCAGCCATACAGCACACTAATAGCCAGAATTATCTGGAGGAGAACTTAAGAGACACGTGAGTTTTATTATCAGTATTCTTTTCTGAAACTTAAAATCACATCAATTATTTGGGGGGAGAGAAGTGGGACAATGATGGAATAAGAATGATGGAGCAAAGCGGTTCAATTCTGTCTTGAACACTCACAGTGCCATGTTTCAGTGTTAGCATTATGGTTGCTCATCTTCTTCAGAAACCCACTTATGAAGAAGTACAGACTGTAGTTAAAGAGTTGCTAGGTTTTGTGGAGAAGTGCAAGAATCTCAACCTACATGAGCCACCTTCAGAATGCTCTCACCAGCTGGTATGTGAATCATGTTCTGCCTCTCTCTCTCTTTCTCTCTCTATTTTTTCGAAAACTAAATTGAAACCTAAGATGTTGTTATAGGGAGGGCTTGTTGAATAAATTAGCAGGGGATTGTGAGGCAGCATTATATATGATTCATACTCAAGATACACTCTTTAAATGTTTATAAACTTACAGTTTATCAGTTCATTTCTGGCACTCTTTGAACCAAACATTCAAGGGAATGAATTATAGTCTAGAATGTCAGTTTCTTAAGTTGGTTGCTCTGTTTCTGTTGCTAAAACACTATTGTCTGACATCCTTGTATCAAGGCTCCTGGGAAATTGAAGTACTTAAAAAGTTTCTCAGAGAATATGTAAAAGTAGAAAAAAAGTAAATATTATTATGGGTTCTGTCCCCAGTTAGTAGACAAGCCTGGCAATTGTTACTGTCTCATAACATGTGCCTATTTTATGATCAGCAAATTCTTAGTAAGCACTAACACATTCTATCTATCTATCTACCTGCCTACTTGATCAATTACTCTTATGCCAAACAATTTAAAATACAAATGAGTAGTTCTTTATTTGTAATATTTTACTCCATTTTATGGGGTTAAAACCTACCTTTTATCATACTCTTTATAGATATATAAAAATAATTAGACTTATTAGAAATGGATTTTAAATGACATACTTCTACCAGTGTCTATCTCACTTATTTTATAGTGATGTCTTCTTATTTTTATTTCAAAAGATTAAGATTTTATGCCCTTATCTCCCAAATCTGAAGGCATGTCATTTGAGGTTTACAGCATCCTGCACATTTATGGCTACCCAAAAATATTTGAAAATGAACTGAATTATTACATTTCCACTTGAAAACTTGACAATGAACACACATGGCTTCAGAGTCAATTCTTAAAACAAGTTGCCATGGAAACAAAACTAAAAACAATTAGGAACCGTGGAAGGAAGACTACTATGTATTTATTGGTAGATAATTCTCATTAAAAATACCTTGATTTCAAAAGGAGAAAACTGTATTTGAACAATGATTAAAAAATAATAATTAAAAAAATAAATAAAATAAAATAATTTACTTTTTTTCAAAAAAAAAATACCTTGATTTCTTTAGACCCTGGTCATTCTGGCTTATGTTTATTTTAATGCCTATGAACTGTATGAAAATGAATCAATTACATAGGAAAGGAGAGACTGATTAATTTTATTTGGTCAATGTCCAACATGTGAGAATTTATACTTAAAAACTTAAAAGGTTTTTGCTCAAAGTAACTATGTCCAAGGACTATTGGATACAAAATGTAACATTCTGCACTTAGTTGCCTTTTCTAAAGAAATAATAATTCTTTGCCTTTCCTGGGGTTAGGAATATAGAGCACACATCCTTCCCCTTTAATTCATTATTTTCTCCTGCAGATGACTACCTTCTTAGAGTGCATTTGTAATGACCAAGGAATGGCTGACAAACATGTTCTTTCTGACTATTGCAAGACGAATAACACAGCAAGACACAATTCTTCCAATTAAGTAAAAAAGATGATGCAGATTACAGGGACACCTTCCAAATTCCAAATCCTGAGCAGATCTGTGAGATGAGCAAGGAGAACCCAGTGTCAGTGAGAAAGATGTAAGTCAGTTCTCCTTGCCATTGTCTTTGGAGAAGAGTATTTTCCAATTTTGAAGACAGGTCTTTCTTACGTAACAGTCTCCGAGAACACAATGCTTTATTACATGGAATTGAAGTGGAAATTTGAGCTACAATATATTTTTCTCTCTCTAAATAACAATTATGGTCTCAGTGAGCCCCACAGGGTAGGGAAATGTCTGCGCCATGAAACCGTAAACATGTCTAGGACCTGTAATGGGCTCATCTCCTTAAGGGTTAGATTAGTCAGACTGGTAGCGAATGATGTTGAAATGTACAGTCAGTTGGCAAAGCATAATAAACTGAGAGTACTGGAGACAGAGCACAGGTAATAGCTCAGGCAAGGGGCTGGCATTTGGGATGTTCATCAAGAGATATCAGGGAGGGTATCTGACAGGTACAGACAAGGAATCTGCCATTGGAACCCTAGGAATAAGTAACACTTTTAGATGTCAAAGATCAGTTTTCTACTCAAGAACTCTGATGCTATAATTCCCACTTGGAGTGGAGAGCATTATAGCAAATGCTATAGGCAAGTTCATATCTTGGTTTTCTAGTTAACACAGCATAAGTCTACATGCTGAGAGTGGGGTGCTAGCAAGTGGCTGGGGTCTAGAGGAAGGAAATCAATAAATATCCAGAGAGGCAGAAATGACAAGAGAAATACAAGGTTTCAGTTCTCAAGGAATCTAATTCTGGACATTCTACTAAGACAGGCTCAGACATCAGGAATAAGGGCAAGGTCTGATTGCTGAGTCTAGAGGGCAAGAGCATGGTAGAGATTTAATTTCAGATTTTAATTATGAAATATTAGACAAGAAATGAATAAGCAGACAGGGTGACCATGCTGAATGAGGCAAACTTTCTAATTCACCCATAAAAGGGCAAATTGCCCCAGAAATTACTATGCTTTCAAAAAAAATTAAATGGGCTCAGCTGCTTAGGGATAGGGTTTGGGCAGGTTCCCAACTTGTCTGATATTAGGGGCCACCAGATGGGGACTGAACTACCAGCTTGGCTACCTATTTACTGCAGTGCTATCTACTGTGGGTGAGAATTGCAGAGTCAGATTTAGGTTGAACATTCAGAGATTTAAAATCTAACCAATACTCAGGCAGTGAACTTAACGTCTTCTTGAACATTTACAATAGCCAGTAATTAAGGAGTTAATTTATGTGCTAATTTTAACTCATGTGCACATGACTATAAATATTCAAGAGAAAAATAATTTTCTAACTATTTGTCTCATAATTATAAACCAAGACCTTTATTTCATTTTCAACCAAAGAAATTGTAATTTATATCAAAGCTAGAGAAAAGTCATCTGTTTTGGAGTCAAAAGATAGCAGAGCAACTTTCCCAGTCTAGAAAGAACTTTTGGATGATCTTGAGAGACACCTCTTCACCCAACAATAGCTTCTAAATTGAATTCCTCTGCACTCGTGTACAATTCTTACTTTACAGTTCAGTTGAGACTATTGAACTTTTTACCTTCTTCTACTTAGAAAAGAGTGAAAAGTTTTAATTACTGACTTCCTTTCCCCACTGGCCCAGAGGTACTTATTGGTCACTTCATGGGCATTCGGAATATCTGACTAACCTCACGGTGACCTATTGAAAACATTTGGTGCATTTAAGTATAGTGTCTTTCACTACGATGTTCTAGATGTTACAGGTCAACAAAACAAAATGAACCCTAAGTTTTCAAGAAACAGTGTCAGCACATGTTCCGGAACTCCAAATTACATGACTTTGGGTTTGTCCAGTTATAGGTACATTTATGAAACTTCTAGAAAGCACCCATTCTTGTATGGACCCACTATTCTGACCATGTCTATGTGCTATGAAACAGCCAGTCTTGTTGCCAAGAAGAAAATAAGACTGAGTGCTTCCTGATAAAGGTAAGATGCTCATATGTCAACTGTTTTTTAGAGCCTTGCTGTACAAAGCGTGAACCACGGCCAGCAGCATGCGTATGACCTGGCAGTTTGAAAAATGTGCAGTGTCTGAAGTTCTCCAGAATTACTGAACAAGGCTTCATAGTAACAAGATACCTAGGCCATCTGTATAGTCATTTAAATCTGAGAAGCATGATCTAACATAGATATTACTTCATAGTAAATATTTAATATTTCAGTTACTATTGCTTTGTAATAGAAGACCCCAACATTTAGTGACTCAGAACAGCAATCATGTTATCATCTCATAATTTTTGTGGGTCAGGAATTCAGGAAGGCCTCACCGAGGTGGTTCTGTCTCATGATCTTTCATGTGGTTGTACTCAGACATGAATGGTTGGATCTGGAACTCTGAATGGCTGAAGCACCAGGGGGCTGACTCAACATCTCTTTCTTCTCATATAATCTCAGGTCCTTTTCAAGCAGTCTTGCTGTTGACATAAGAATGTAAAAAAACCTGTAGAGAATTTTTAAAAGAATTTATTTGAGCCCAAATGATGACAATACCAGGAACGAAAAATCTCAAATGCTCGGGAGAATGGCAATTTTGCAGTTTCTTTATCCATTTGGAATTAAGGAGAGAATGTAAAGATTACATGAAGATGGGAGAATGCCAGGTGGAGATTGGATTACAGGATAGTTATCAGTATTATGTGTTCTCTTCAGGGCCTGAAAAAGAGGCATTTCAAAGGTGTTAACATAGATGCACAGGGCTTGCTTAAGGGAAAGAAAACTTTTGCTAAAGAAGTTATATGCTGGGGCATGACTGTGCACCATAATGTGCCCAGTTAAAAATTTAGGATCAGATCACCCTGTGAGGTTACTTTTGGTTAGACTCATTACACACCTCTCTTTTATCCCCACTGCCTTAACTGGTTTGGGCTTCCTTCCAGCATGGTAGCCCCGGGGCAGATGGACTGCTTACTCATGGCTAAAGTCTCCAAGAATGATTATTCTAATGGATAAAGCAGACATTGTATGACCTTATATGACCAAAGTCAGAATGACACTCAGAGTGGGGCAAACTTGTATTTCTGCCACACTCTGTTAGTTGAAACACCATGAAATCACACCAATTTGAAAAGGATTTATACTGTACCTCTGGATGGGAGAATTGTCAATGTGTCATTGTAAAAAGAGCATGGGATAGAAGATATTGTTATAGCCATCTTTGGAATATACAGTCTGCCACACTTCATTTTTAACAAAGTGGTTTTTTCTCTTTCATTAAATAGATGTAAATGTGATTAGTTCCATGATAAAGGTACATTTTAAGTGTGGTCATTAAAGTTCTAAATGTCAACATAAAGTAATGCTTTTACTAGCAGGGGCACCACGTGGATTTCCTAAAGGCTGTGCTGAAATGCATAGTAGTTTGCTAATCATTTTGATGAATTCGTCAAGGTGAAATGTAGTACTATGTCTTCCTTGCTATTTCCTTCCATTTTTTTCAGTGAGACTTTATGTCATATTCTTCTAAACTGCTATTTTTCTATTCCTTTAAACCTATCTGTCCTATTCATCTCCTCATTGCCTACCTTGTGTAAGAAATTAAATAATGTATCTAAAGAGTTTCTGGCATAGGCTAAATATGCAGTAATTGTAGCTATTACCATTAAAGCTATATAGATCTCGTTAAAGATATATGTATATATTTTTTCTTATCTCCCTTTCCATTCTTTCCCTTGGTGAATTCCAATTCCTTTAGAAGCCAATTCTGAATTCCTAGCTCCTAGAAGGAGAGTCTTTTTTGTTTGTTCATTTCTTATTAGTCAAAAGTGAATGACCATGCAGATGTATGTCTCATTACCTGGCATTTCTGAGGAATGAGCTTTTTCATGAAAGTGAGTTTTGTAGATAACTTGGTGCTTACTGTTTCAAGATATGCAGTTTTCTTACTCTTCACATTTTTCAGTAGAAATTTTTTCTTGATGTATAACATACCCCTACAATGTTTTTAAGTTTGCTAAGAGTTCTTTCTCCCTCCACCTCACTTCATGAAGTTTAGTCTTGCTGCTTCCAGGATGCCTGTTCCTAGCAGTCTGGCTCCAACCTCAGAAAAAATTATACAACCAATTGTGCAACTGTATGAGTTAAGTCCTCAGAGACTCTCTTATGAAGAAATAATTAAGCTTTTTGTACTTAATTTCAAATGAGTATGATACAACAAAATAAGGACAAAAAGAATTAAATTTATAATTAATTATAAAAATATAATTATGATTATTGTGCCAACCTTTTGTAGTTTGAATACTCCCTTTGTATACATTTTCTAACTTCTTCTTAAAAACAACATTGTAAAGTGCAGTTATCCAAAGTAAAAATATTATATGGTCAATATAATGTTTTAAGTGAAAATATAGAGCTCTTCTGAAATTTAAAATATAACATATTTTCAACACTAAGAGATATCATTTTGGCATATTTCTTTCTATTCACCTTTTTCTACTTACAGATTTTATTTTGTACATTGTTGTGATCATACTGAATACAGGGTTTTTATTACTTAAAAATATTACTTTTCATTAGAAACATACATCTTTTAAAAAATAATGTGCAATTATTCACTTAACCTTCTCTCGGCTATTGAGACTTTTTTTTGTCTCCAAATTTTTGCTATCATAACAAAACATGCATGTCTTTCTTTTGTGTGGTTATGTTTTTATTTATTTAGAAAAGTTTATTTGCAATAGTTTTAAAAGTAAAAATACTGAGTTAAAGAATGTAATCATATTCTAGAGGAATTCATTTATATATTGCAAAAGTGAAACATATATTATAGATAACACTAGGAAACATGGCCAACAGAACAGTTAGTAACTTGAATAAAACCAAAATACAGCTGTGAGACATATTGGATGTATTCTTGTAACTCTCTGGACTTCTCTTTGCTCAGTTTCGTGTTATCATTTATATTTCAAACGTCTGGTCACTGGAACAAGTGATCTCTGGGGAAGACAGATGCTATTTTATGAAAAAAACTCCCAGATTGTGCTGCTGTATTTGGCCTCTTTTAAATAAGACACTAAAAACTTTCCAATTTTGAAACAATACACAATTTTTACTTTTCTCTCTTCCTTACTAATACTGAAATTAACTTCTTCTCTTACTACTATATTTTCTTAATAAGTTGTTTTTCTAATTACAGCTAGACCCCATCAGAAAATACATTGGAGATATATCTTTGAGGCATCACCATTTATGTGAAATTGGGATTAAATTCAACTGCAAATTACCAAAAGCAGTGTAAGTTACCTACTTAGACCGATGCACTTTGTTGCTGCTGGGCCACCCTTTTTTATCAAATTAATTAAAAAGTCATTTATCTTTTATTTCATCGTGTCTCTCAGTACAAACTTGTCTTCTTTCTCTACATACATGCTACTTGCCTGTTCAGCAGGGCACACGGGGCTGTGCAGGAAAATCTCGCAGTTCTCACCACCCATTATCTCCCACCTCAATCTCTTCCATCTGCTCAAATCCCCTAGTCACTTCCTCAGGGCACAAACAGTTCTGTGCATGCAGAAGCAAGCGCTTAATCGTTCTGCATGATGAAGGCTGAAGAACCAAAGCTATTCTTTTCTCTGGAAAAATAAAAAAGATTTGGCTCCAATGTTACACAGAACAGAAAAGCCAGGGATGTTTTCTAGGGGTGGGGATGGATGACGATGAAGTGGGAGAAGAATTTGATGTTACTCATTATGCCTCTTTCCCGGCCCAGGTTGTGTTTCTGTCTAAGATGACCCCTGAAGACATGCATGTTCCTTATATCACCTTCTTCCCCAATTGAGGACAACACTGGGCTGCCTGGAAACTCAATTCTTCTTAATTTCCCTATTCCCCCCCAAATTTAGGGGATGTTGCTTACTTGTCAACAGAGAGAGGCAAGGGAGACTCATGCCTTCTGTGATTGTCTATGATGAAGGATTTTACTTGGAAAGTCAGGTCACATAAATATCCAAATTACCTCTCTAAGCAACTTAACTCTTTAAGCAATAATTTAAGTGGTTAAAATGACTATATTATCCATGACTGTGATTTGAATCATGTTTGTTTTGTGCCTTAGATCTTACATGGCTCTGGGTGCCATCACTGAAGAAATAGGGAGCATTCAGAATACACTCTCCTCAGCCTGCATTTGCAAGTGCACTTCTATCCCTTTGGTTACTCAGTGAACTAGAACTAACTTTAGAAAGAAGCAAATTCACAATATTGTTGAGAATGTACTTATTTTTCTTTTCAGGGATTTGGTTCTGTTGACTAAAAAACAACCTAAAGCTAACTTTTCTGAAATCGCCAAATTGGCCATTGATGTTAAAAATGTGCATCAGACGGAAATGCATTAGCATGTGTGCTTGGCAGGCTAAGGGCCTCTGTTTTCCTAAAACTCACTTAAGCCTTGACCGTACTTGTAATTCTTACTGTAGGGAAAGAGGAGTGGGGGAGGATGAAGAGGGTCAAATATATGGTGACGGAAGGAGACTAGACTTGGGGTGGTGAGCACACAATGCAATAATGTATCATAGAATTGTACACTTGCAGCATGTATAATGTTAACCAATATCATCACAATAAGTTTAATTTTAAAAAACTTATAATTCTTTTTTATTGTTGTTCAATTACAGTTATCCCCATTTTCTTCCCCTCATTGTTCTCCCCTGCCCTACCCGCCCCCACCTCCCACATTCAATCCCCCCACTCCGCCATTGTAACTCTTAAATAAAGGTGATAGTGGTATGTAATGAATCTAAAAATGTAATTATCATTTATCAGGTTTGGGTATTCAGTTATGCTAACTTCTGAAAATGAATTTGAAATGTTTTTCTTTTGAATTTTCTGAAATAAATTAACCCGTATCGAGGCTTGCCGGTTCTGGGAAGGTTTAAAAGAACTCGTCTATGAAATGAGCAGGGGTGAAGATAGGAACTGCTGGGACAGCTTCTCTGTTTCTTTTGTTATGGGCTTATTTTAACATTTTTCAGTCAATTCTCATTCCTTGTAAATTCTATACTTGCCAAAATTTATTTGTAACCCCAAACCCACACTCACAGCACTTTGCGGTCTTTCTCAGACGTGTGCCCGCTCAGAGTGGCGGAGCCTCTGAGTTGCCAGCTGTATGTAGTCCCAGCAGAGGCGGAACCAAGCAGTGCTCTGGCTTCGTGCTTGAGTTCTCCTGCTGTGAGCAAGTGCTCGTTCTGTGGTCTCTTTAGTGCCCTGTTTTCCTCATTCTTGTACTTTTTGTGGGTGATTTAGCAGATGTTGAAAATGTCCCCAAGGGCAGTGCTGAAGTGCTGTCCAGTGTTCTGAGCACTAGAAGACCAGGACGTGCCTTAGGAAGAAAATACGAGTGTCAGATAGGCTTTGTTCCCGCCTGAGTAACAGTGCTGGTGGCTGTGAATTCAATGTGGGCGAATCACCAATATATATTGCATAAGGTCTTTAAACCTGAAGTTACATAAAACAGGGTTATGTCTTGATTGCTAGACGAAAATGTGGCCGGAGTTTTGCAGAAACTGAACCCTGTATTTCCCCTGGGGTCAATGATTCAGTACTCACAAATTCAGTGTTTACACAACTGTGAATAATGAGAATGTTCTTATTTTTGTGAAGGTTTTAAGCATACATTTTTCTTTAACAACTCTCCTTCATCAGCATTTTCTCATTGGGAAATATAGAGTTGCACATGGTAATATTTGATAATTAAAAACATCAATTATGTAATTACAATTCCTTTTCCCATGGATTTGTATTTTCTTCTTTAATTAGTTTTGTGAAAGGACTATTATTGGTCTTTTCCAAGAGCAAATTCTTGGACTTATTTATCAATTCTGTGTTTCTCCTTTTAATTTTATTAATTCTTTCTGAAAGGTTTTCTTAGACTTTGCCTAGGAATAAATGTTAATTGGCCACAAAATTAGGCAGTATAGAGCTTTATTGGGGTTTGTGTGCCTGGGCAACGTGTGTTCCCCCCAACACCCCCACCCTGTCCACACAGAGGCGGGGGGGGCTAGAGAAAAGCTGCACTGTGCAAGGAAAATGGCAGGGTTTTATTTTGGGTTGGCTCTCCGTGGGAGCTGGGGATTGGTCCCTTGTAAACACAGCGACAACATATCATTGGTGGTTCCCCTCACGCCCTGGTGATGTCAGCCATCTCTTCCAGGTTGTAGTTCAGCCGCCATCATTGATTGTAGTCCCACCGCCATTTTGATTGTAGTCCCACCACTATTTTGTCTTACCCCACCCATCCTGACACTTTCAAGTTTGTTCAGTTGTTTTTATCTCAATTATTTTGGTTAACTTACTAATTTATTTATACTCATTCTTTTAAAATAACTTAGTTAACAATAATTACTTCACTTGAACTATCACATCTTTTATACACCATGTTTCACTGATTATTTTTGATACTGATGTAATTCTCTTTTGATTAGAGTATTTCTAATAATGCTTTCAGGAATGGTATATGGATTATAGACATCTGAGTTGTGTGTCCTAGAAAATTTTCTTTCTTTTATTACTGCTTATTATATCATACCACCCAGTGATGAGTGCAAAGGTACTGTGCAGAAAACCACAAATAGTAGGGGAATTTTTTTTCTTCTACCTGGAATGCCTGTATTCTTATAGTTTCTTTCATCAATTTTCTTCCCTTTGTTTTCACTACCCTTTGAAAATTGATATTACTAATAGGTCCTCTCCTGGTCATTTCCTTTCTTATTTTACACACACAATCAGAGCTGGCTGGCCATCCAGCAAGGATTGACTCTCCTCTTCCTTCCATACTCCAGATTAGTTGCCGGGCCATGAATTACATTTCCTGTCTCACAGGGAAGTGGAGCCACTTCATTGCGTTCTGGTCAGAAGTGATTTATGCTATTTCTAGGCCCACCCATAAAAATCTCCTCTCCAGAGCACCCTCAGTCCAACAGCAATGTTAAAAGCCTCAGGTTGAAAAAGCCTGGTTTCTAGAATTACAGCCTAGGGGCAGTACTCCTTCCTTTCCAATAGGACTCTATTGAGAAAGAATTAAACCTGATTTTCCAAAGTCACTTTGTGAAGCATTATTTGGAGCAACTAAATTTAACAAAGTATAAGAATTTCATTTTTCTTTTAAGTTCTTTGTACAATGACCATAGCTATATTTCTGAAATTACTTTTGATACTGGCTTAAAAATTAAACATCACTTCTTGGACCCATTTATTCCTAAACATGTAACTGGTACTGAAAAAGTTGGTAGGCACAGCTTTCTCATGGAATTCTCATTAGACTTGAGTTCTAGTCTAGCTTTGTCATACATACATTTTAGAATGTAGGTCGAGCCACTAAATTTCTTCAGGCTTTTGAGTTCCAACTGTAAACTAAGGTGGTTGGATAAGATGACTTCTAAGATGCCCTCTGTGATTCTATGATTTCTTGGGAAATATTCTAGAGTCCAAATTTCCTTTCTTGTAACCCAGAAGCATGTGTAGATTATGCACAAACTGCCCATGCTTGAGGGGTATATACGAAAAAGGTGGGGTGGTAATTTAATATCTAGCCAGTGCTTTCTTTCAAATGGATTGTAGTACTTACAAATTATATCCTCAAAGATCATTGAGAAAAATGCATTCTCACCCAAATACTTAAAATTAATTTCTAGTAAAAGTAAGTAGAGTTCCTGAGCTAGAAATTAACAACTGATAGGATATTTTAGGTTTAAGTTCTGGATCTGCCACTCACTACTGTGTTGGGAACTGCCCTGACTGGTATCAGAAGCTGAAACCCCCACCTAGGCTAAGGCTAAGGGAACGCCCTTGGAACTGTAAGCCAGCAAGGAGACAAAAGCTTATCTCCCTGGCAGGAATGCTGCTTCTGCTGCTTTATTCATAACTGAACCCCCCAAAAGCTTGGTCGGTTAGCCAAAGACGGGTAAGATTCCCCACGGGGGAACGACCTAAGACAGGCACGATCACTTTGGGAGGCCCCCCCCAAGAGAAGGACTTGGGGGGCTGCAGCAAAAGGGGGGTGATGGACCCTCGCTCCTCGGCTTTGACATAGCCTGAGTTCTCAGCATCTGGGGAAAAAAACCTCCTTGTCTCCCAGTTGCCTTAGTTCCCTTGCTCCACCTAAGCCTGAAACAATGACAGGGTGGTGCAGCTCGGTACTGAGAAGTGCGGATTCCCCAGGGTGATCAGGCCTAAGAAAGAACATGTAAATTACTGTGAAACCTCCTTTGTTTAGAATGCTCTCAGTTGAATGAGAAGGGTCTTAGGAGGAAGTTATTTTGTTCCTCAGTCTTACAGCTCTTTGACCCCCAACTCAATAGACCGGCAGAGTTCTTTGTTTTCTATGGTTCCTTACTTCCCCCGAATGAGTACTGTACTTTACCTGAATTATTATGCAGAATGAGCCCAATGAAAGCAGGTATGGACGGTAAATTGGCGCGCTCCTCACTAGAAGGGGTGGCCATTTCATCCCTACTTCTCCACAGAAACTAGTTTGTCTCTGTGCATGTTTTTTCTCGCGTGTTTATCGTCGAGCCATCCACAGCGTTCTGTGGTCACTGCTGGCCGGTGACCCACGCGCAACATTTGACATAGCCTGAGTTCTCATCGTCTGGGAGAAAAACTCCTTATCTCTTGGTTGCCTTAGTTCCCTTGCTCCACCTAAGCCTGAAACAATGACAGGGTGGTGCAGCTCTGTGTTGAAAAGGGCGGATTCCCCGGGTGATCAGGACTAAGAAAGAATATGTAAATTACTGTGAAACCTTCTTTGTTTAGAATGCTCTCAGTTGAATGAGAAGGGTCTTAGGAGGAAGTTAGTTTGTTCCTCAAAGTCTTACAGCTCTTTGACCCTGACTCAATAGACCAGCAGAGTTCTTTGTTTTCTATGGTTCCTTACTTCCCCCTAATGAGTACTGTACTTTACCTGAATTATTATGCAAAATGAGCCCAATAAAAGCAGGTATGGACTATAAATCGGCACGCTCCCCACTAGGGGGGGTGGCCATTTCGTCCCTACTTCCCCGCAGAAACTAGTTTGTCTCTGTGCATGTGTGTTTTTTCTTGCGTGTTTTTTGTCAAGCCATCCACAGCGTTCTGTGGTCACTGCTGGCCGGGGACCCACACATCACTATGGTGTGATTTTAGAAAAATCACATAATTTTATTGATTTGGTTTCCTTATCTCAAAATATAATCAATAAAATCACCCTGAGAGTCTCTCAAGGTTTCCAGATGTCTTAAGGTCAGTTAAAATATTAAATAAATTTCATAATTATAATTGGCTTTTGAAAGAAAACTCATAGCCTTTGAATTTTACTGTATTTTCAAATATGTTTCATATGGATACAGGTTTCTTTATGAATATTTGAGGAGACATTCAGAGTTGGCGGTTCCAGTGATTTTAAGAGTGGACACAGTGCATCAAAATTTATTGTAAAAATGCTGTAAATTAGAAAATCCTCTGGAATGCCATAGCCATGGAGTAAATGACTTCTTACTTTTTAACCTGTGAACTCATTAGTGATTACAAACATAAGAAAAATTACAGTGCTGTTTGTAGTGCCACACTTTAGGAAGAGGATTATGCATGCTCTTGCTAATTGCTGCACTATGCTGGAACCATTACCATCTAAACTGAACGCCACAGCAGTGCACTGCAGCAACTCTCTGCAAGTCACTGCCATAGATTCTGTGCTTCATCAAAGCTTTGCTGTGCAATTCCCTTTTCAAAGTGAATGTCTGCTTGGCACAGTAGCAGGTAGCATGGCAGCATAGCCTCTTTTAGGGCATGGAAAGGAGGCTGGAAAACTGTCCCTATTTCAGGCCAGAAATCATACTGTTCAGAGGCAGCAGCTCCTGTTATGCATTTGACATAAAAAATGCCGGTGGCCTTAAAATCTGACTGGATGGTTGTTTATTCCTGGGTTACCAGGAACCAGGTTGCTTCAGCCTTTGTTATTCTAACCAATTGCTTACATATTTATAGAGGATGGGGTGGGGGTGCAGGATGAAGGGACTCTCTTTACTTCTAAGATGCCCTGGCTCAAGCAGGTACACCTAGTATCCTCCCATTCCCAGAGCGAAGGGTAAATGAAGGTGATTTAGTTTCCTGTGGGTTAGCACCCTCTCATGGCATCACCAGCAGACCTCAATAATGGTGATTATAATGGCATCTTAAAGCAGTATGGATATTTAGTTAACAAAGCAGCTTTACAACCAGTGTTTCATTTGATCCTCATAACAGCTTAGTAACATAGGTAACTCCAGAATTTCTAGCAATACTTCATAGATGAGAGTATTGAGTTTCAGAAAGTTCAAAGGACTTGCCCAATATCACACAGGCAGTAAGGACAGGGCTAGGAGTTAAATACAGGCAAACAGTTCACAGGTCTGGTAAAATTTTCCCTAGGACAAACACTGCCTATTAGGATCAGGTGGACTGGCTTTGGTGCTCCTACCCAGGCGCTAAGCCGAGAAGGCCACCTATATCTTCCCACTGGAGTTTATTGCATGGCTCAAGAACTCTTTGAATTTGTGTCAGCTCTTAGAATTCCATTTGATTCATTTAATAGGTGTCTGTGAAGTGTTTTACTATAGTCAAGGCTGGCACATGTTTTTATTATGCCAGGACTTCTTAATGCATGTCTGTATTTCTATATTTTTATCTCTATATTAGTTACTTATGTTAAAGGCAGTATTATTAAAAATAACCAACACACACATACATACACATTACCCAATCAAACTTAGATCATAAACTACCTTTAATGATCTTTCTCTGGCTTGATGAATGATTTGCTTTATGCTTACAAAATATGCCATTTTATCTCAAATGAGTTTTTATCACAGGAAACTGAATATCAATCTTGCTGTCCCACTTTTTCCTCCATAAATACACGGCCATTCCTGTTTTAACATAATGTGTTTTTCAAGATTTGTTAACTCAGAAAGTAAATAAAACCCTGGGTGCAGAAAAACAGCTACATTAAACTCTTCATGGTTTTGCAATCTTACCTCAAGATATAGTGTTGCAATGATAGATAAACACTGATTATCTTTATTTTTCAGAAAGAGATGTTCCAAAGAGCGGTTCATGAAAGCCACGGGCATGTTAAAAATCACTGTGATTTACGTGAGAAAGTAGGAGATAGTAACTTCCACAACAGGTATGCTTGTAAGATATTGTCTAGATTTAAATTTGTTTAGTGAGTTTGTGTTAACTTCTGATGCTGAGAGTTGCTAAGAGTCTGCTTTCACCCTTACAGTCTCAGAGGCCTAGCTATCTTTGTCCACAAAACTTCAGATGCTTCAACACTGCTTTCCAGGACAGATTCGAGATTTTCAGTAAATGCTCAGAGGTTAGGGCTCCGAGTGGGTCCTGGCTGCTTTCCTGCAATCTCACATGGGCCCCCTTTTTCACACCCAGGCATTTAGTTCAGAGCTTTGCGTGCAATTTTGAGTCCAAGTTGCAACAGATATCTAATGTAAGGTCCCCTTGTTGGTTTCAGATTAGATCCATATAGCAAATTTAGTATTTTCAGCACTGAGAGGAGAGATACCTTAGTCCTTTGCCAGAGGGAACAAGCAAAACGTCTTGTGTGCAGAGACTGGTAATTTCTGCTGTATTTTAAACACTAATTTATCGAAAAACAAAAGCCAAATTTTTAGGAATCTTTAGAATCACACCATAATAGTCTATTTAGAAACAGAATATTGAGGAAAAGTTCAGTTTGACATAGTGCCCCAAATTATTGATCTTCAATGTCCAGAATAATGATCCAAAACAAGTAGTCTTGTTTTAGAGAGACTATTTGGTATATCACCTTTCTTTTATGTTGTATTCAGCTGCTAATGTCTAGTTTAAGAGTTAGATCTGTGGTTCTCAAACTTTAGAATTACTTGGGGGACTTGCTACAATGCAGCCCTGCCCCAGGTGTTTCTGATTCCTAAGTCTGGGGTGGGGCCTGCAAAGCTGCACGTCCACCACGTCCCCAGGGGCACTGATACTGCGGGTCCAGGAGTCACAACTGGACACCCATTGGATTAGGTTGACTGTTTCATTGGATGTTACAGCTAAATTCTCCCCGCAACTCCATTGGAATATAAATGCCAGGCTTGACTCCGATTTTTTGTCATCAAAGTCAAGTCTGTAAAGTCTTTCTCTTTAAAAAGCCTCTTCATATTCCTCAGTTCCCTCCACCACTATCCTAGTTCAGGTTACCACCACTTCTCACCTGTGTTACTGGAATGGTCTTCAAAGTTTTTCTTCACTCATGTAGCCTTGGGTCCATTTTCTATGCATTCTTTATATAGCAACCATAATTATCTTAAAAACAATGTAAATCTAATTCTGTAATTAAGCTTTCTTCCTTCTCCCCTCTCCTATCCCCCCACCCACATCAAGAAAACAAAAATCACATTCAATGACTTCCCAAATGCTCCCCTCCTACTTTTCACCCCCCTGTACCTGGCTCATTTTCAGTCATTGTCAGATACCAGCCCACAAGTCCTTTTCTCCAGGAGGCCTGCCCGATTTCCTTGGGATTGGATGTGAGGCCATCCTATGTGCACTGACTGCCCTGTGTACTCTTCTCCCTCTGCCTAGTGTACTTGCCTCTCTCCTCCACCAGCATGTGGGCCCCATAAGAGCATGGGTTGTGTCTTGATTCTTGCTGTAGTCCCTATTCCCACACATTGTGGACAACTTATAATGACTTTAATTGCCTATGCGGATGTTTACTTTAGAACCTTTTTAAGTCTGATTTTTTGGCCATCCAAAGTAGCTACCATGGTAATCCTTGATAATTAGAAAAAGTAGACCAGGGTGGAGCAAATACTTTATAGGTAAATTTTCCCTGAACATAATAATTTCTAAAGTCTTCAGAATCTGACAATATAAAATTATTCAAATTTTATTTCTAAAGATACAGTTTTAACAGAAACCAGTTGAAAACTGTTTTTGAGGCAGGTTAGTAAGAAATGGGGAAATCTCCCTGGCAAATGGCATGAGGAAACCAAGCTAAATAGCTGAACAAATGGCCAGAATGGCTGAGCAATTAACAGCCAGTTGATAAATCTTAAGCCTCTATCCTCCCTAACTGAAGACGCCTAAGAGGACTTGGTTTGTATCACCTCAGGGAGATAGATAACAAAGACCAGTTAGAGCCTGACTCACCCAAGATAGAGTGAAACTAACCAGAGAATGACCCTAAAGCTCATGATACCATCATTATAATGAAAATTGACACCACAAGTGAAAGGGGACAAGCACTGACACTTCCAGAACAGACCATATTAGGAATAATACCCCTTCCCAACCAGAAGCTGGAGTCAGAATTAGGTACCACAAAGCTTGGAGACAATGCTCCCACCTTGGAAACACAGAAAATCCTGAACACTAACTGACTGCACAACTCACTCATGAGTTGGCCCATATCCCCTACGACATGTACTTTTGCTTCTTTCACAGTGGCGCCTGCACCCAGGCCTCTTTCTTTTTCTCTACCTGAATAATCTTGCTTTGTTCTCACTCCAACTTGTCCTTGAAATTTTTCCTGCATGAGTCAAAAACCTGGAGGTTGATTGACATGTGAAAGGTCCCGAGAGGTCCCAGACCATGCCGGGCAGGGCTCACCCATGTTGTGGAAGAGGCCTGATGGCACTACGAATATTCATTCACCTGTTTCCACATTGTGCAGGAAGTAGACTGATATCCTTCCAAATGTTCCCAATTGAAAGCAAAAGAAATATCTGTATAGCTGAATCTTCTCAGTAACCACAAACAGAAAAGTAGGATTTTATTGAGTACTAGTGTAATTAGGGGCAGTACTAACTGTCTACATAAATACGATGCATGAAAGCAAGAAAGAAAACACCCAAAAGTGCATTGTTTGTGTTTCTTTGAAGAACCTTTCTCTAGGCAATATGGTAAACACTACAATGTGTGAGGTTGGAAAAGAATGCCAGGTAAATTGAAAAAGCCATTGGGCCATTGGAACAAGGACTAAAAGGAGGGAATTAAACCCACCTTAATGTCTTGTTCAACCTGAATCAGAGAGAATGCCAGATATTGAGAAAAACTGTAGAATTCTTTATTTTAGGCACATAGTCATTTTTAGGAGTAAACGGAAATTATTCTTTCAGGCTCCTGGTCCTTTACACTAAGAAAGCCCCACAACTATCTGGTCAACAGCTGGTTATGTTCATGAAGAACATGGCAGCCTCTGAAACCAGATGTTGCCCTCTGAGTGATGAGCAACAGTTTGCATGGAGGATGCAGTAAGCACATCTGCGACTTCATGTTTGCCTGTTCTAATCTCTGACCTTCAACAATCACTCTCATGTCAGTGGACACATTTCTGAACTCTCAATGGAGCCTAATAATTCTGTCCTTGGAAGAAATACTTTGAGCTCAGATCATGCTGGTTGGCTTGGATTAGCAACAGGTTTAAGGCTATCACTTCCCTATCATTTGGGATGGCAGGTTCAATGGGCCTTTGCCTGGATCACACCTCTGGGTCTATTTCTTGGAATTTCAATTCAACAAAAGTGATTTTGCTGGCAACTTCAAAGATAATGCTGTCTTTAAACAAACTCATCCTAATCAAATGTATATATAGGGGAAAAAATGCCTCGTCTTCCTCCTGTGTTGCTTTTTTCCTGTCACGCTACTATCACATTCACAACACTTCTGACACCAGATGTGTGTGGTGTTTTTTATTCGCCCAACAGCAAGCAATTCTCTGTGACACCAGCTGGGTGTCCTACAATTGAAATCAGTCCTGACACTCTCTACCTGGAGACAGACAGGGGTCAGACACCATAGGTTAAGGGCTCAGTTCTGTAAGATCACTGCCTACCCTTTTCAGGTGACAATTGCAAATCTAGGTTGTAGCCTGTGCTTCAGACTGATGATCCATACAGCAGAGGTTTCCCCAACTCCCTCCTAGGGTTTAATTAATTTGCTAGAGTGACTTTGTAGAACTCAGGGAAACACTTATGTTTACCAGTTGATTAAAGGATATGGTAAAGGATACAGATGAACAGCCAGATGAAAAGATACACAGGGTGAACTCAACTTGAGGATGATTGAAAGAGGGAGGACAAGTCTCAGAACCAGGCTGCACCTTACACTCTTCTTTTCTTCCCAAACAGTAAAATCCAGGCTAAGCTGGCAGAAACTAGAATTTGAGAATACTTAAATATAACCACATTTTCTATGGGTAAGAAAATAACAACCACAGACCTAATGGCTCTTGTTTTAATTTTCTTCTGGGAAAGGCTGAACTAATTCCTGGAGCTTTATGCAGAAGACATGAGGCACAGCCTGTCAACACTGGTGTGGGTCACTGTTGTGATGACTCTTATGCCTTCCGGAAGGTATGATTTGACGATCTGCAAGTCGATGGAACTTACATTTCTCCACCTTTGTCCTGTGACCAAGTTATCAGCTTTCAAGAGGACTTGTGCAAAGCTCAGGAGGAGGAATTCCAAACTAAAAAGCCAAAGTAAGAATCTTTGTTGAATTTGTTTTTTATTGCTAGAAAAAGAGCGGGTATAGAGAACCATAAAGTGGGCACAGATACATGTACTGCATAATGGATGGAGTAGCTAAATGTCATGCTGGAGGTCAAGTAGCACTGAGAATATCATGCAATTTTGCAATCGTGGCTATTGCGGGTGCTACTGCAACTGGATCAGGTATTGAGTTTGAAATCTGTTGATCAGAAAATACTGACAGAGAAGTACATTAATATATTTTTTCCTAAAATGTGAACTTTGGACATTAGTTTGATAAGGGGTCTGGTACGAATAGGGTTTCATGATCAAATAAGTTTGGGAATGCTATATTTCCTTGCTCTTCTCATAATGTATATTGTCCATTACCAAGGAAGTCAAAGTCCTGCAATAATCTCTTTAGCTTGTTCTAGCTTAGCACCATCTGGGCCATAGAAACTACTAAGATTCTTCAGGACCAGAATGCTGAGAAAGTGCTTTGGAACATTTCATTACAGTGATGTGTATCACTTTATAGTATGTAATTACTTTTGCTACTACTTCCACTGTTATTAGGAATGACTATTTTATATATTTGGAAGAATGGTTGGGGGATGATTACTAGTAGGTGGCAGCTGGGTGATATTGTAATAATGCCTGTGAATTCAATTCCTTGAATCCTAATCTCCTTCTCCTCCTGATCCCCTAGCCCCTGTGATGCAGTTTCTTGCACTAGATAAGGCTTTGCAATAACATCTCAGAATATAAGAAAATAGGATATCATTAGAAACTCAAAATACTGGAAATAAATACTTAAATGCCATATATAATCCTTCTAAAACACATTGCACATTTCCTGCTGAATATTTCCAGTGCTGGGAAGACTGTTTGCTTAAAGCAGCCTATTTTTATCTTTACATATGCTTAACTAGTTCACCTTTTTTTATTAAATAGGAATCTATGTCATTGCCTCTTCCACTCAATTTCTACTTCTGGAACTATAGAGAGAAATACTTTATGGACGTTCCATGAGCTGAGTGAGGCTAGATCCCTATTATTTGACTGCAAACTGAGGGTGAGGTATGACTGTTATACTCTTAATCTGAAGTTGGGCTTCCTGGGGAAGGTGAGAGGAATGGTGTGCAATGTTTTCTGAGCTTATATACGACCCTGGCAAGGCATGTCTGTGTGTGTGTGTGTATTATGTATATGATATAAACATGTATAATGCATACAGAAACATTTTTAAATTAGAAAATTTTATCAATATAAGTTATTTACAAAGTGCTGTTCTGATTCAATAGCTGTTACTGATACTGAAGCCTGCTGATCAGAAATGTTGACAGCAGAATACCATGTCTTTATATTTGATCAGAGTTCCCCAGTATGTGTTCTATGTAAAAAGGGTTTCCTCATAAAGTCAGCAACAGGATTCAGTCCAGTGCTCTTTTCTATTCTTGCTTTCATAGCATGTATTACAATATTTCATCATTCCACCATGTTGCCAACCCTCTTGCCCTCCTGCTATTGCATCCCATTGCCAAATTTCTTTCCCTTCACCTTTGCTCATGTAATATGTTAGTATTGCTTCAAAACAAATGAACCAAAATGTAGTAACTTAACACAGCATCAGTTATTATTGTTCAAGCATCTGTGGGTTGATTGGATGAGTCTGGTGACCTGAACCAGCCTTAACCATTCTCAGTGGCATTGCTCAAGAGTGTATGGTCAGCGGCTAAATTAGCTGAGAGCTGGCAGCCTCGGCGAGCATGGCTTGTCTCTGCTCCAGGTGGCACTCTCTAGCAAGCTAACCCAGGCTTCTATACACAGTAGCTGGGAAAAGAAGGGGAAGTGTGGAGACCTCATGGGGCCCAGGTTTAGAACTGTATAATGTCAGCTCTGCTGTGAGGCAGGTGATAGGGCCAGCCCAGACTGAAGGAGTGTGGAAAAGACTTTACCTCTTGATTAGAAGAATGGGAAAGTCATGTTGTATAGGATATGGACACAGAGAAAGGTGGACAATTGGGTCTATGTTTGTAATCAATCTGCCATGTGTGAATCATTAATGTAGTTGGTGATGAATGTCAGGGTGAATGTCAGGATAGGATGAGAAGTGAGGCAATTAACTAGGTCTGAGGCCATCACAAATGAGGGGCATGACCAAGCTTCTTACACATGATAGGAATAAATAGCAATCAGATGTTAGAATTTGAAGACATACTTTGAAGGAACTATGACTTTTAAAAGAGGATGAAGGAGAGATGTGTTGGAAGCAGTAAGAGAACTAGGTGGTATGATAAGGTAAGTAGAGCTCAAGCAAAGATAGCTTCCTCTTGACAGGCCTTAGGGAAGCCGTGTTCTCTGAGGAGCCATGTTTTCATATGGGACAAGAGAGAGAAGTTAAGAGAAGAGGCTATAAATATAGGGAAGGTTTCTGGTGAGAAAGCCTCAAGTTACAAAGGAGACATAGGATGAGTTAGGGTGGACTGGGAGAGCAGGAGAAGGGTCAGATTAGGGATATAGAAACATCGGTATGATGACAGATGAGCTGGGAGACTTAGATTGTTGACTGAGGCATGACCAGCTTGGCCTTGGAAGTAGCACATGCAGCACACACAACCCTAGGCCAGCTGTTCTTGCCCTTGTTTACTGACAACTCACAGAATGTGGACATTTCCCCCAACTCCCCCTATGACATCCACATGGATGGATTAAATGAACACTATCAGTCTTAGAAAAGAGGCTGCTGCAGACAAAGAAATGTCCTTCTTAGTGGCATTAATCACCTCCATCCTGTTACAGGGTGCAGCCAAGAGGGGGGACCCCAAATGGGCATTTGAAATGGGGTCCAGAACTTAAGGTGTCCAGGAGATTTTAAGATGTCTCCAAACCCCGCCCCCCCCCAGGGTGTGGGTTGGGGGAAGGGACAAATGGAACAGGACCATTGAGAGCTGTTTTGCAGCTAAGCTCTGGCGTGGTCATTTAACATATCTATAGCCTTTGGCTGGTCACTTAGATATGTTAAATAGCTGTGATCATCTCTGAGCAGGGGTGGGGGGGGGAATGGAAGTAACTTCCCCACCAACATGTGACTGGGGGCAGATCCCCCAGGCTACAGCGCCTGCGTGGGAGCTCGGAGAGGATTGGCTCCAGGACATGGGGCCACACCTGCCCAGACTCATGATGGCAGCCCAGTAAAGCTGGAAGGATATGAGTTCTGGCATGTGAAGCTGAGTGTGGGAGAAGTCGGAAATGAGGCTGCAGAGGAAGATTGGCCGAGGGGATTTAAAACCCAGACTTGGCGGCCATTGGAGAGGAGAACCATGTGGCTGTGGAGGTGCAGAGAGGATCACGGCCATTGAAGAGAGAGCCATGTGCAGCCCTGAAAGGGAGAACCACACGGCTTTGGCAGAGTGGGGACGCTCCCCTTCCCGCAGCCATAGGAGAGAGAACCACGCGGCTTTGACGGAGTGGAGACTCCTGCATCCCAGAGAGAACTGTGCTGCTTTAGGAGAGAGAACCACGTGGCTTTGGCAGAGTGGGGACTCTCCCCTTCCCGCAGCCCTGAGAGAGAGAACCACGAGGCCTGGACAGAGTGGGGACCCCCACAGCTTTAGAAGGGGGAACCACCACCTGGTTTTAGCAGAGATCCCGGCTACTCAGCGGAGGGTGCCGGGAACCCAGGGAGGTCTCCCAGTTGAGATGGAGGACTAAATGGGAAGAACCAGAGGACTGCCTGAGCCATGGACTTTGTTTTCCTTTCCTGAGATACGGTACTCTGGACTGGGCAAAGGGGGAAGGAAGGAAGGACTGTGTCTGTTTGTGGGTGTTTTGGGGGACTTTGGGATTTTTGATAAAGACATTAGGTCACTACTTTAAGTTTGTATAGCATTAAATAAACATTTCCTTTCCTTTTCACGAATCTCTGGCATTGAGAGACGTCTTTCCTCTGGCGGCGGACATAACGGACCCGGGGCCTTCTTTCAATAATAGTATATCGTTCCAGGCCCCCCTTGTTCTGTTCTGTAACAATCCCACTCCTGAGCCTAGAGTGAAGATATTCTCAAATTTCGGGCATTCTCCCTCGGAATGAATTCTGCTGCTGACGGATGTGATATTAGAGGCCCACAAAAGGTAACTGTTCTCGGGAGAGCCAAAGGGTAAAATCCTGGTTTCTCTGAATCAGCAGGATGCATTGAAAGCCCTCGAACCTCTGACAGTGCGACAGTTTCCTGATAGCGCCCACCATGCTTCCCGCCTGCCTCACATGCCCCCGATCCTGTCCTTGGGAAAAAGCAGGTCCGGGTCTTCCTTGATCCTCCCCCAAGAGCATTAGTGTGGTAGCTTATTTCTAATTAGTTGATTTACTCTCAGACTCATTTTTGCAGGGTCTGTGTATTATTAGTCCAACCATATCATCTTGGCGAGTGAGGCAGTGTGTTTGTTGCCTTGGCAGTGAACACATTCTCGTGGTCCCCAAGAACAAGGTTGTTACTTGTACTTTTTATCACAACATTTGCAATTCACTAGCCAGCTGACCCTTGAAGTCCTTTCTTCATTTCCCAAGGTGACCTGATTACAAACTAGGCTTTAAAACTTTCCAATAACCACCCAAAGCACATTGTAACATTTAGTTAATCATTCTTTCTTTAACCCAGGCTTGTGGAAACAGGAGAAAGAAATCCATTTTACTGCTACAATGCAGGCTTTGCTTTTTCTTCAGGAAGTTCTCTGAGTGTAAATAGGCACCACTCCATGTATGTCATTTCATTAAATTCCTTCCACAAAATTTATGAGCTAGGTAATGTTGTTATTCCATTTTAATTATGAGGAAACTGAGGTTGTGAAGGTAAGAAGACCTGGTATGAGATCCTGCACCAAGTAACTAGGTTGATGAGCTGCAACCTGCAGCATAGCAGTCTGGGTCAAAGAGGGTATGCTTAACTGTCAACACCTAGTAGATAGTGCATCCCAACCAAAGGGTTATAATACTGGTTACGTGTAAAGCATGGAGGTCTTCATATAAGGGCTAGGTAAAAAAAAAGTGTGAAATATTAGGAAGCATCCCTGTCCCAGGGAATTCACTGTGTTCTCTGTATAATAACATAGAGATAGTTATTGTGGGGATTTCTGGAATATTATGTGTGGATCCATATTGGAAATCAAAGGCAAGGCTGGAAAAATATCTTCCAACTTCCTGGTACTGTGTCCAGAGCTCTCTCCATGGTGTTCACCCCTATATAGTTCTGGCTGGCTACTGCAGCACATATTCTCCCTCTCTCTCTCTCTCTCTCTCTCTCGCTCTCTCTCTCTCTCTCTCTCTCACACACACACACACACACACACACACACACACACGAAGGGGCTTCTGGAAGGGAAAAAATTTTATTTTGATGCTATTTTTATCCACTTGTCTATTGATGAACACTTGGGTTGCTTCTATAGCTCAGCTGTTGTAAGTAATGCTGCAACAAACATAGGGGTACATATATTTCTTCAAATTAGTGTTTTGGATTTCTTTGGAAATATACCCAGAAGTGGAAACACTGGGTCCTAAAGCAGTTCCATTTTTAATTTCTTGAGGAAAGTCCACACTGTTGGTTTTCCATAGTAGCTGCACCAATCTGCATTCCCACCAACAGAGCATGAGGGTTCTCTTTTCTCCACATCCTTCTCAGCACTTTTTTGTTGATTTATTGATGATAGCTATTCTGACACACGTGAAGTGATATACCACTATGGTTTTAACTTGCTTTTTCTGATGATTAGTGATGCTGAGCGTCTTCTCATATGTCTATTGGTCATCTGTATGTTGTCTTTGGAGCAATGTCGAAATCCACTTTTTCATTGGATTGTTCGTTAATTTGGATTATCATCCTTATTGGATGTATCAGTGGTGAATGTCTTCTAATCAGTAGGTTGTCTTCATTTTGTTGATGGTTTCTTTTGCTGTATAAAATCTTTTTAGTTTGTTATAGTATATTTGTTTATTTTTAATTTTTCACTTGCCAGAAGAGATGTCAGAAAAAATGTTGCTAAGAGAAATGTCAGAGATTGTACTGCCTACATTTTCCTCTAGGGGTTTTATGGTTTCCAGTCTTACATTTAGATCTTTAATCCATTTTGAGTTTATTCTTGTATATGATCTTGTATCTTGTAAGAAGGCATTCTAGTTTTATATTATTGCATATATATGTTCAATTTTTCTAGCACCATTTATTTAATAGACTCTCTTTATCCCACTGCATGTTCTTACTTCTTTTGTTAAGTATTAATTGACCATATAGGTATGGGTATACTTCTGGCTCTTCATTCTTCTGTTCATCTATGTATTTGTTTTTATGCCAGTACCATACTGTTTTGATTACTATGGCCTTGTAGTATAGTTTGATATCTAGTAGTATAATGCCTCCTAATTTGTTCTTTTTTCTCAAGATAGCTGTGGCTACTTGAGGTCTTTTGTAGTTCCATATAAATTTTTTGGAATACTTGTTCTAATTCTGTGAAAAATGCCATTGGTATTTTGATGCATTGAACCTATAGATTGCTTATGGTAGTATAGGCATTTTAAAGATGTTAATTCTTCCTATCTATGAGCATGGTATATGCTCCCATTTATTTGTATCTTCTTCAATTTCTTTCTTCAATGTTTTATAATTTTCTGAGTACAGGTCTTTTACAAACTTAATTAGATTTATTTCTAAGTATTTTATTTTATTTTGATGCTATTGTAGATGGAATTTTTTTCCTTAGTTTCTCTTTCTGATAGGCAGTCTAGTAGTTAGGATTTGGTTCTCTTAATGATCTCTGATGTTACTATTGTAATTGTTTTGGGATGCCATGAATGTTTAGGTAAGCAGTAAAATACCAATTAATATATATTTCCCCTACCCTTCATTGGGGAAATGTATGTTATTGTTTTTTGTGGTTAAATTGTTTTCCTTGTTTTCTTTGTGGCTAAATCTCTCTTGGTTTGGGGTAATAAAGAGAAAAAGAAAAAAAAGGAAAAGATAACATTGGAAGATTTGAAATGATATTTTAGTAAATTTACAAAGTAGGTTACAATTTTAAATATTCAAAATGATTGAAACATTTGTTTATATAGTTGTGGGGAAAACTTAGGCTATAAGAGAAAAATCTGTGATTGTGAAGCCATTATTGAAGTTTCAAATTAGTTTATTAGTTATTATCATTAATAACCTCTGAGGGACCCTCAACTTCCACATGTGTTATTCTTATAATATTTATTTGAAAGCTAGTTATTTAGAATAAATGTTGTTTATATCAAATGTTATAGGGAAAACTATTTAATGTAAAGCCTATTTACCATCCAATGCAATGAAAATAGAAAACAAAAATATTTACCTTAGTAAAAATAATATAAAATTAATATAAAAATAATATTAAATATGTAAATATAATAACATTAAAGTTATTATAATAATTGAAGAGATGAACTTGAAGAAAATTGTGTTAAAACATGGAGAAAACTACACCTTTTGAGGGCCTTTGAACTTAGAAGTGAGAGTGATGAAAAGGTGTGTGCAGCTTTAAATAAGTCGGGTTCACAAGCTGGACTTCTGGAGCTCAGCGGTGCTTTTAATTTTGCCACTCATTTCTGATTCAGGCTTCTCAGCAAGCTTGTGAAGCAGAAACCATATGCAACAGAGATGCAGTTGAAACCAATGATTGTGGATTTCATTCACCTGATGAAGACGTGCTGCCAAGCAGAAAAATGTGAAATGAATGTGTTTCTGAGAAGAGGTATTCCTCTTTCCTCGTCAATTCTCTTAGCACCCTTAGGGTTATTAAGTTTTAAAAAACTAATTTTTCCATTCCAATCCTGAGTGGATTAGAATCACAGTCTAGGTCTGTTATCTTTAACCTTTTT